TTTATAGGTTGTCAACGCCCACGACCATGATTCGGACGCATGACTGACCCTTACTAATGAGGCGCTGGCCCACGAAGCCGGCATAAAATGAGATGGTCCTTTTGAGCGCGACGTAATGCGGGTTGTTCGGGAGTCATCGCTCTTCTCTTTTCTCAACCAACCAAACCTCAGCGGCTGATAAGGATTAGGGTTGGAACGAGTAGAATCTTGGCGAGCGGCTACGACGCGATGAGCAGCCTTGATTTTGTACTCATTTGTTTTCAATGGCAATGTCTTGCTGCCTTTGATTGCATCCAAGACCCTTCACGGATGGCAACAAGGCCTCCGGGGTCGGCCCCTGGTTGACAAGATGCATGAATTCTCGGGCCAGACACAATTCCAGACTCAGACTGAGAGGTGAGTTAGTGCGTTGCGACCGACGTTTCGACGATAAGCACCTACTAATGCAGGCATAGCGCTCTTCATGTATGTTTTGTGAGGGATTCCAGATTTTCGTGGACCTCAGTCAGGGCTTAGTAGCAGGTAATATACGTTAGTGGCCCGCGCTAACTTCTAAGCTTGGCTGGCTGGTTCCGGCTTGCTGAGCTCAACTACGAACCAACTGCCGTCTGAGCCAGTCTTTGTGATCGACAACTCGTGTTGTATTGCCCAGCAAGGTGATGTATGCATGCAACGTCGTGCAAAGGCCCACCGAACTTTAAAACACGCGAGTTCTTGGCCGTCGAGGCGTAATGGTAAAGCAGCAGTCGCGGTGGGGAGACACGGACCACGACGTTGATCGAGGTGAGGCTAATGTAAATAAGCTGCCGATGAGGCAACTGGTAATTCCAAATTTAACTGGACTATGCCTCCTGTGTGCGTGACTAGCAACTTGAAAATCCAACGTCGAGCTTGAGCATCATTGCCCATGGCCAGTCGGAGATTTGCCAGGCAGGGCGAGCTGATCTCGTCTCCAATCCGGAGTCGCGCCATTGATAAGCTGAGAAGGTGGCTGCAGACCCGCGGGGAAACCCCAGAGGGAGATGGAGGGCGGATAACTCCGTACTACATACATCCCTTTGAGATAGTAGTACACACGGTACATGTGCACCGCCATGTGTTGGGAGCGATATTACGTACGGCAGAGTGCTCCATGCTCGGCACATGGTCACTCTGGGGCCACTCTGAAAGCCAGGGCGTCCAGTGAACCCAAGCAATGCCACGCAAAATTCAAGGTCAAACCTCAATCTGGAGTATGGGGTCGCGTGGAGGCGGGTTTGCTGGGGTCAACAGGGACACTGTCCCAGCTGGCGTTCCGTCTGACGACTTGAGTCGGCAGCCACCAGCAGTGTGGAGTCGAATCTTGAGGTGAGATTTTCATGTCGGCCAGGGTGGGTGTGGCTCTTACTACGTGAGGTAAGAATCCCCTTCCCACAGCGGTAGCGGTCGACGGGGCTCCCAACTTGCCGCCGCCGCCCCTGCTTACGCCTTGTCAGCACCCTCATGCTTCACCGCGAGTACTTCCCCTTCCTGCCGACCCCGGAGTCGGAGCCACGGGGTCCAGTCGACCAGCCCATGCTGGGGGCGCCCGCCCCCGAGGGCTGGTGGGACGACAGCTCCCGACTCCTCTTCGGCGCGGCAGAGCACATCGCCGCCATTCTACACGAGGCCTCCGAGTGTGGCGTGCATCTCATGACGCCCTTTGCCGGGTTCTGCGCATTCTCAGCCGGCTACCTCAACCTCTACGTGGCGAAATACCCCCGAATGAACCTGGGCCGCAGCCCGCGAGCAAGCGACTGTCTCAAAATGTGTCTCGACTACCTGGAAAAGTTTCGACTTGTCTGGAAAATCGCCGACGGATGGGTAAGCCGCCCGCAAGCATGACACGACCGTGGCCACCGTTGCGCTAACATTGAGAGGGCGGCACGCGCAAGATCAAAACGATACACCATGCATCCGTGCTCTACGAGCGAGCAACCGAGGACCGGACACGATACCAGGGGCGCACACGAGCAGACTTTGATACTCTACACCAGTCTGTCCACGAGTTCCGTGTCGTGGATAGATCCGACGCGCATACTCGGGAGATTCGGGGCGCGGAGCGGCCCTCGGCGCAGGCGACTTGGCCGGTTCAAGGGCACGAGCACGAGCACGAGCACGAGCACGAGCTCGACACTAATACCTTGTTGAACCAGCTTTTCGCGGAAGTCAGCAATAACCTCGACGAGCAGGGGGCCTGGTCTCAATGGTGGCCGGCGATTGATCAGGTGGATCTTTAATGAGCTGCGTAATTACATCCGGGGTTTTTTTTTTCGTTGAAGCTTCCAATGAATGAGTGACGACCTTTGATTTTTTTGATTTTTTTTTTAAAAAGGGCTGTAATATCTGGTTTTCTATACATGTCCTATTTTTATTTCCCGGTCTAGAAAAACAGTCAACAGATAATGCACCTCTTCATATGGCTCCCCTCCCGTCACCGCCAACAAATGCATACCTGTCGCGTCAACCATTCGCCGTTTCTCCTTCCAATCACGCCTTTGCAAAGACCTTTCTCGAGTTCATCAGGCGAACAGCAAGCATAAAGAGCATGCCGACAAAAGGCGCCACAACCACGCCAAGAGGACGTTTTTTGAAGCAGCTAAAAAGGCACGTAAATGGCGTCTGGATTCTGTACTAGATCTACTAGAAATTTGGGACGAGAAGGGTGTACATTATAGGCGAAGAGGTTAATAGCGTTATTAGGTTGAAAATTGGCCCGCCTTGGTGTCCGGCCCGCCTTGCTGTCGAGCACCACCTTTGGTGGTGAGGGCTTTTGCTAGCCGAACCACATAAAGTGGGGCGGGCACGATTAGTACTAGTAGTGTAGTTTAGTATTGTATATGCAACACACAATGCCCCCAACTGAAAATGCTACGTCGCTTGGTGCGATTCGGTCTCGGTGGGCCGACTCGTGTGGCCCCGAGACGCGCCAGAAATGCAGTGATACCTGTTCGCGACAATTAAGATGTGGGCGCGCAAGATCTGCAATTGCATCTCGGGAGCCATTGTCATGTATTGTAGGACGACGACGCCAAGAGGAAAGCGGCAAGGCATCAGACACTCAGCCTCCCAAGTAAGTGGCGTCTGTTGTGTGTTTCTGCCGTCCGCGTCAGCGCCGCAAAAGGGCTGAGATGAAGGGTCATCGGTATAGCCGTGATCCATGCGACTCAACACACGCTAGCACACGCTGGCAGTGGCGCCGGCACCAACCAGATAGATGCAAGTGGCGTTCCGGGGGAGCACGCTGCTTGTCGTGATTTTCCTCCTGAACAGTCCACGACGCCATCATAGCCACACGCTCCGCCAAACGGAAGACAGCGTTTGTTGCCCGACTGAAAATAGTTATATCGTGTGCCAGATAAGGGCCTGCTCGCTATCGTGCCCACAAATCCACAGATGCCACCCTTGAGATAAGCATCTCGGATCTCCGTTCGGTGGCAGATGTGATTCGGTTTTGCAACAGGCTGTGTCCATCTCGTTCGGGCAGACAAGAGGTTGTGGAGAAATTGAGATCAGCACAGAGCCTATGCATTCCAGCAATTTGTTCCATCCATCAGGCTCCGCAGCTCTCCACGGCCTGATTGGTAGTGCTGGCGGGACATTTGCCAGGATGCTTCTGCTGAACGACTCGTGTCGGCTGGTGCTCTTTTTGGGAAGCCGAGTGAAGTTCTAGAACCCGTCGGTACTATTCGAGAAGCGCCTCATCATTGTTGCAATTCCGCCTCTTTTGACTGTTTCTGGCCGTCTTTTGGTCGAGGCGGAAGCTCTCCACCTGAAAGCTGATTCGTCACCAAGGTCGCAGCTGGGGCAAAACGATCTGCGGGAGGCTGTCAACGTACCGGAATAAGCGTGTAAGATGTAAGCCGAATCGTCATATGGTGGCGATACTCCGCACTGTCCCTATGTCTCCGGCTATTTCACCACCCGTGACTCCATGTGTCTCGTCGATTCCTGGCTCACCCAGCGTAGCGCAGCCTCGACAACCCAAGTTGATGTCTTGTCGAAGGGTTTGGTTTACGTTATAATTTTGGTCGCGTTGTTCTGTGGCAACAGTGTCAGGGCTTCCTCAGTGCGGGTGCTGCGAGTGCGTCTCCACAGGATCACAAACCTGACCAACTGCAAGGCTGGCTACCCATGGGCAGGGTATCCCGCCTCATGCGACGGGGCATGCTGTATTGTTGTGTATTGTGTTTTGAGTTTGTGTCGTGTCGTGTCTGGGTTTCTTCTTGCAGAGTTGCAAGCCATTCAGCCTCTGGGGTGTTTGAAATTGTCAGCTGGTGCCGCCTTGGATGCCAGGCGTCAAGATAGAGAGGGCAGGCAGGGTAAGCAGGATAGCAGGATAGCAGGATAGCAGGGTAGCTGGGCAGGTACCAGGTGCCAGGTGCCAGGTGCCAGCTTCCGCAGGCGAGTCCCCAGACCTCCTTGGCACACGTGCGCTTGACTTTACGAACTTTCGTATCACTCACTCCTGCCGTCCTCAGGACTATTGGACCCTTGCTCGTTTGCTCTTTCCCAGCTTCCCTCCCTCTCTATAATTATCCCCTTCCCCTCCTCTCCGCCCATGATTCGGATCTGGGCTCCTCCATCGCCGGATCGACTTTCATCTCTAGAGCAAGCGAGCGTGTGTGTGCGTTCGTGAGTGAGTGAGTGCGTGAGTGTGCGCCTCTTTCTTTTAACCCAAACTCTATTTTATTTTTATAGTGACTGACGTTGATCTTGGCTCAGACTGCGTCATAGCGCCGCCGTTTAAAAAGCGATAGACTGCCATCCAGCGTCTCGTCGTGAGATACGTCGACGTTTGACACATTTGGCATTTGCCACGTCGCAAACTACAACGGCGCTGCCCAATTCGGATTGCATTACTTTCACACCGGACTCCAAAGGCAGCGCATACTGGTCACTGTCCGCGGGAGTCGACCAGAATCAGAGACTGTGAAACATCTGCGACCCTTGTCTGACACCATCGTTCACCACCCATCGCCATGGAGAAACTGGACGACAATGCGACCCACGATTCGGAGGTGGGTCCTATGAGTGAGAATGCCGAGTACAACTTGGCGGAGCAGCACGATCAGCTGGCTCGTGGCCTCAAGAGTCGTCATATTCAGTTTTTGGCCCTTGGTGGTGCCATTGGTACCGGTCTCTTCATCGGTTCCGGAGGTATCTTGTCTGCCACAGGTCCTGCACCGCTCTTCATGGCCTACAGCTCCATGATGATGATTGTCTGGGTCGTGATGAACTGCCTTGCCGAAATGGTCACATATCTGCCCATGCGCGGCATCACTGTACCCTACTTTGTGGATCGTTTTGTTGACCCCAGTCTTGGTTTCGCTGCTGGCTGGAATTACTGGTATGCCTATGCCATACTCATTGGTGCGGAAGCTACTGCTGCTGGTATCATCATTGACTATTGGGGCGCCAACGTCAACATCGCCGTGTGGATTACCATAGTCTTGGGGGTGATCCTGTTTCTCAATATTATTGCCGTCAGCTTTTTTGGTGAAGCCGAATTTTGGTTTGCCAGCATCAAGCTTATTACCATCATGGGTCTCATCATTCTTGGTATTGTCGTCTTCTTCGGCGGCGCTCCTAAATCGGATGGCGTGCTTGGATTCCACTATTGGAAAAGTCCAGGAGCCTTTGTTGAGTACAAGGCAACTGGCAGCACGGGCAGATTTCTTGGATACTGGCACGCCCTGGTCTCGGCCGGTTTCGCCTTTATCACGTCGCCCGAACTGATTGCCATTGCCGCTGGTGAAACTATTGCGCCTCGACGCAACATCCCCAAGGCAGCTCGTCGATTCATCTGGCGTCTGGCAGTCTTCTACGGCCTCGGTTCACTCATCATCGGCATCATAGTGCCGTCGGACGACCCAACACTCCTGGGTGCCAACAAACAAGGCAAATCAGATGCGAGCGCCTCACCTTTTGTCATTGGTATTCAGAACTTTGGCATCCCTACTCTGAACCACATTATCAATGCCGCTATCCTGACCTCGGCCTGGTCGGCTGGTAACTCCTTCCTCTACTCTGGCAGCCGTGTGCTCTACTCCATGTCGCTCAACGGCCAGGCACCCAAGTTGTTCCGCACGACCAACCGAAATGGCGTTCCTTGGGTTGCTGTTCTTGCCACCTGGTCCGTTGGTCTTCTGGCCTACCTCAACGTCTCCAACTCTGGCGCCGAAGTTTTCGCCTGGTTTACCAACATCTCCACCATTTCCGGTTTTATTGCCTGGATCATTGTTATGGTTACCTACCTGCGTTTCCGCCGCGCCATGATCTACAACAACCTCTTGCAAAGCCTACCCTACAGAACGGCGCTCCAGCCGTACGCTACCTATGCTGCACTGGCGGTTATCAGCATCCTCACAATTACCAACGGATTCCAAACCTTCATACCCTTCAAGGCCAAGGACTTTGTCGCCGCATACATTACATTGCCTATTTTCTTGATATTGTATGCTGGTCACAAAATCAAGTCCCGAACTTCTCTATATATCCCTGTGGACCAGATCGATGCCATCACGGGCAAGAAGGAGATGGATGAGTTGGAAGCCATTGACCAGCCGCGTGTGGCCAAGAACTGGCTGCAAAAGGCATGGTATTGGCTTGCATAGACGGAGAAGTAATGGAGAAGTTGTGTTGCAAATATGATTTGAGAATATCACGTTCGCTTTGTTTCTTATGGGATTTGCGGAGATGTTTGACATTTTGTCCAAATGATCAACGACCATCGATACCTAGGATAGTCTTGTTTGAATAGATGGCATTTGTGTCAAGTTGTCCTGACGCGCTCTCAACGCTGTGAGTTTTTGATTAGTTGTCACGCTTGGGAATCTGAGGTGACTCGACCCGGTTGACAAGAAGATTGGACTAGCTTAACTAGATGGCCGTCTACGCGTCTGCCATAGCTGTGTAGCAGCCACAGCCAATAGACGAGGCTCGATTTCAGCGTACACACATGCCCAAGGAATCACGAATCAAGGATTCAACACGTCTTAGCCGGATTCACGTATCGCGCCGGCACTCGGGGCCCACTCCCAGATGCATTGCTCATTCATGGAAATGGCCTTTTACGGAAGCGACTTGTTCACATAAAGGAAGAGCCCTACTACAGACAAGAGGAACACGCCCTTGTCCTACGACTCACGTGGTGCCACAGCTGCAGTGAGGGCTCCAAGGGCCTGAATCCTCGTGTGGACGCAACCTGGCGACGGTGGGAGCTGCGATGCGTGACTGAGGCTACCCTACGCGCCGGAGCATCTTTGCTGGCTCTTCTGCGTGAGGTCAGAGGCGCGCAATGACGGGAACACGCCAGGCGGGCAGCAGCTTGGGCCAAGGCCCAAGGCAATGAATCTTCAATCAGGCATGGATAAAGTGAAAGACGGGCCTTGGACGGCAAAGCCAATGGGGTGCTGGCGGCGTGTCAGATAAGTATGAGCGAGTACTGATTCACCTTGAGTACTTGAGTAGTACATGGGCCCATGGCTAGCCGCAGCGAAAACCAAGGCGTTTGGTTTGGACAGCGACAAGTTGCAGCCAGAGCAGGCGCGAACCGGGCCGCGTTGCTTGTCGTCGTCGTCTTGTACCGGGGGGATTCTCGTCAAGTTTGGGTCGAGAACAGTCTTGGATGACGCCCGACAAGTCGTTTTGGGCGGAAGGCCACCGCCACCTGTGAGGCGTGTAAGACACGTACGTATGCGGGAATGAAGAGGCAGTGCACCATGATGTTGACGATGTGGTGGAGCGATGGATACGCGGGCGAGGAGTCACCGACCCGAGTCGCGGAGTCGAGGTGGTTCGCTCCCCCGGAGTCTGGAGGATTCGTTGGTGAGATACGGAGCACCGTCGACCCTTGGCAGGACGTGGCATCTCATTTCAAGGACGTGTGTGTTTCTGTATGATATGTGCGCAGAGCGGCTCGTATGGCCCCGATGGAACAGTGATTACCTCGTAGAGCCTGAGCGACAGCGAAACGTGCCGTGCGGACTCGTGGTTTGGTTTGGGAATTGGCACAAGTGCGGCAGCCCGAGACTGGTCTGCAGCTGGCCCTGCCGGCTTCACTGTTTGAAGAAGATGGTGATTTAAAAGACCTGTGGGCGACCGGAAATGAAGGCATATTCAGGGGGGCGGATGGGAGCCGAGAATTGCTTTTTCTTTTTTTCTTTCTTTTTTTCTTTTTTGCTCAGCCGGCCGCTGACTGTCATTGGGCAAGATTGGCAGGTGCCACGGGCCATGTGGCCACGGGAGACCGGCAGCGAGACTTTTTCCTGGGTGTTTTCTGTTGGAATCCCCTGAGGGCTTTCGTCGCATCAACCCCTTGGTTGGCTTTGGGCTCTTTTCTTCCTGATGGCACAAAGGGAGGGGAGGGGAGGGGAGACGGCCAAACTATCTATCAGCCGGTCCCGAAAGTGGCTGCACTCCTTTGTGGTTTGGACAGCTGGACAGACAGCTGGACAGTCGGACCAGAAACCACGGCTCATCAGTGCTCGGGACATGTCATTCCAGCGGACTGCTACTCCGTGGTAACTACAGAATAGTCCCTGGAACCATTGAGAGGCGCAAAACCGAAAGGGGCAAAGTGCCAGGAACGCGAGTTTGTCCGTTTGGGGGAAATGACAGGTGGGGCGCAGAAAATTTGACCCAACCAATGTAAGAGCACGAGACGATCCAAATTTTAAATTCCACGAGGTGCAAATGCAACTTCGTCGGTACGGAATGGGTCGAAGCAAAGGCACGCAGAGAATGTGTGCCATGGCGTCCTCGGAGTACGGAGCACCTGTTTGCCCATTTCCACCGAGGGGCATAAACACGCGCGGCTGTCGCTCTTCCTCGCATCGCAGCAGATGCACGTTTTCCGTGTCAACAAGGCGAAAGCCAATCAGGGGCTTACTCCTTGAAGCAGAGGGCGGACGCCAATTGACCACGCGCGAATTCTAGTCTGTGCGTCTGGGCGTTTGGCAAGGGGCGCGACCAAGACAAAGAATAGCGGGGGAGAGACATAACAACGACTCTGTCGTCTGCCAACCGTGTCTTGTTACCAGTTGGCACAACTCAATTCCACCAGCGTGGCCTGGGCGGGCACGTCTCAGAATTGCTATGTAGCGCGTCGCGCGGCGCGAGCAGAACGGCAGAGATGGGCCGGTGCGGATGGCGGACAGCATCGTACCGGCAACGCGAAGTCGTTGTTTGCCGCCAACGTGTGGAACGAGATCCCCGTAACTGAACTTGGCAGAGTACCGAGTAATTAAACGGCAATCAATCGAGTTACTATTTTCCTTTTCGTACAAAGTACGGAGTAGGATTCGCGAGTTTTCCGAAAGCGGCTCAGAGGAGGAGCTACACGCTTGGCAGGGACGACAAAGGGGAGGGAAGGGGCGCGGCTGCCCTGGTGGCGCCTGGGGACGTGAAGCCCCCCACTCTTGGGCTGTTTGGCTGGTACGTACTGGGGACAACACGAGAGACAGTACCCTGGTTGCGCAATTGGCCCTCCCGGAGAGGTATTTTCTCGCGGAACTACGGTCGCGGATACATCAGGGTACGTAGCTGGACTCCGAACTTGCAGCACAGGGTCTAATCAGTAGCTGCAATAAGAGAGCCGCGGATAAAACGACTGATATTGCGTGCAAACTCAGGCTCAAGGGATGTATCGTCTTCTAATACCTCCCCTAGCTTGTTGGCAACCTTATTTATCTGCCTGAGTGTTGTGGGCGTCTCAAAGTCGGAAGAGTTGTTGTGATATAACGGCGGCGGCGATGGTGTTGATGTGTAAATTGCAGCTCGTTGTTCAAGGGCCTCAATTACAGGCTGTGGATTGTAGGGTGAAATTCCAGTTTTTCGAAAGGCTGTGAGAATAGTAGTAGTCTTGAAAGCTTGTTTTCGTACAGCTTGAATGCAAGCAAGGAATTCAATCTTTGTAATATTCAACACGCCGTCTCGAACAATGATATCCAACGCCTTTGCATGATAATGCTTTAGTGGCTGAAATATCACAACATCAAGAGGTTGAAGGATGTGTGTAAGGTGCGAGGGCAACGCAAAGGGAATTATATCGTGCTGTTCGCAGTATTCAACGAATTCAATTGTATGGTGTGATCCGTGGCCATCTAGGATTAAAAGGCGATATCTGCCTATTGGCGTTGCAAATTCCTGAAAATGCTGTATCCAAGCAACTGCAATTTCGTCATTCGTAAAGCCGGTTGGTGAGACTGTTATTTTGGTATTAGCTTCAAGCTCCTTTATCCGATACCAGGACTCCATGTGTTTTTGCCCTGTAAGGATAAGAAAGGCAGGAATAACTTTGCCGCCAGCAGAAATGCATTCTATTGCTGTTGCAGTCTCCCTGTTTTCTGGCATTGAAAATAGATGCGCTCTTCTTCGCTTTGTAACAACTAAATGGTCCTTTCCCATTCCAATACGAAAGCCAGTCTCATCCATATTCCAGATATCTTCAGGAGGGACTCCGTACTGCTGAATAGCCTCTTTAAGCTTGTTGTAATAAGAAAGAGCTCTTGTCACATCTTCTGAAGCTTTTCGACTTGAATCAATCTTTTTTTGAAGACCTTTATGATAGTGATGCCGCTGGATAAAGCGTGTAGTCCATCGCGTTCCAACTTGCCTAGGCGGGGCAGTTGACGATGCCCTCTCTTTTAGGATGTAATTTGCAGCATCTGTAATGAATTCAGGTCGTACAGCGAAGTTGGCCTTATCAAGGCGATCGATATAGTTACATAAAGCAACTTCCTCTTCTCGTGAAAGCATTGTATTTCTTGCTGGATGGCCTTTCCTAGCAGGAACGCCGTTAGCACGTCGTTGAAGCCGGCTACGAGGCACGTTGAATTTCTTCGCCACAGAGCGAATTTTTGCACCTGGATTTTCCTCAATATACTCAAGAGCCTCGTTGACACGTAATTCGACATCGCTTTTTGCCGTTTGGACGCTAGTTGCAGCCATTTTCGCGGTTCAACGCGTCTAGGTTGAAAATTGGCCCGCCTTGGTGTCCGGCCCGCCTTGCTGTCGAGCACCACCTTTGGTGGTGAGGGCTTTTGCTAGCCGAACCACATAAAGTGGGGCGGGCACGATTAACGGGTTGGCGCCACCCAGTTTCATTTAGCCACGGCAACCACGACAACGACAGCAACCAGCGAGTGGCTCCCGGCGGGAAGGTGCACGCTTGAGGAGGGAGCAGCATGCGGCCCTGCGATGGTGGTGTCTTGTGTATTGTCTCACGTCCTCATTTTTGGGTTGGGGCGCCTTTGGCCGCCCAGCTCGCCCCCATGCCTGGTAGTATACATACTACTCCGTACTTACTCATTAACGGTGGTCGCCCCCGTTTGATCTGAACAGCCTTGTCCGCTTCTCTTTTTGTCTACATCGCGTCTCGCTTCATCCATCTGGCTCGCGCCACCCCAAGGCTTCGTTGGCAAAGCCTAAACACTCTGCGTTTCACGCAAGTCATTCATTTTGGGTTGAAACCGCACGACGACGCTTGAGCTGCTTTAAGTATCACTCCATCGCACTCGCTCTCATCAAATCGAACTTCAACAAACACTGCAAGACGAAGTCACCGCCAGATTCCGGTTACAGCCGTCACGACCGTCTGAAACCTGCGAGGAAGTGTAACTCTGAGAAACAAGGCAAAGAACAAGAAACAACAGACGAAATGCAACTGATCAAGTTGGTTGCGGCTGCTGCTCTGCCGGCTCTGGCTCTTGCCGACACGAGCACCGAACCCTCCGCGACAATCACTTCCACCAGCACCGTGACCTTGATCAAGACCGTCACACTCTCTCGGGTCTCCGTCGTCACCTCAAGTACCTCCTCCTTCAGCATGAACTCGACCACCTTTGCTGCTCGTACTGGTGCCACGACGTCTTTTATCCCGTCCGGTGTCACCACTACACCAGCTCCCACTTCGCCAGGGCCGCAGAACGCTGCTGGAGTCCTTGATGCCGGCAAGATGGCCTTTGCTGGTGTTGCTGGCATGTTTGTCGTTGCACTGATGTGAATCAAGTTGGTGCTCAATGCAGCCTCTGGAGCAGAGAACGTCAGGGCATGCGAGGGACTCGGAGTTTGGTCGAGATACTCCTTGTCGGCATTCTCGTCGCTGCAGCACCGCCTCTTCGTCCACCATTCATTCCTTTTGTCAGTTTCTTTTTTCTGCCGCAAATTTTTTTCACCTTGAAACTGGGGCAAGTATTGACTTTGTCGGCACTGCACCATGACTCATGATCATGACGAATTCACGGCCGCGGGAGAAGCGCATCATTGTTCAACTCCATGATCCACGGGTCAACTCATACGCACGCTCGCATAAAATGGAGGTGGCGCCCGCTCTTCCTTCGTTGATGAACATGTCCTAGGTGCTGCACTCGTCATGTATTAACTCGCGATGCAGCAGTGCCGGGCAAAACTCGGTCCTCCTTTTACACCCCATTATACGTTCAATTCTTACACTGGCAACAAAACAATGGCACGCGTCGACTGCGCTGCGTTGTTTTGCGTGCTTGCTGGATGATATATTATCTACTTTCCCTTGTCGGCCGCCATCAATGATGGGACGTGCGAACGATGACGGATGACAGGAGCAGGGGATGGCTGTGTGCGCCGCGGAAGGTTCCTCAAAGCAATGTATCGTTCTGCTCATCTGCAGGCCCCCATTTGGTGTTTGTCTACTTGGCTCTAATTTTTTCTTTTCGATTCTACTGGTGATACCCTTTGGTCCATGGAAAGGCAGATGTTTGGGCAAGATGCTCACCATGTCTCGAGGCCTTTTTTCTTTCTGTTTCTTTTTTTGGAGGATTGTGTGAGTAGGTTTTTGATACGCTGTTGACCTTTGGAAGATGTACGCAGATGGACAAGTAGTTTTGGCGTATGACAGTTGGTAGCGAGCAATTCATCTATGGCTTTGCACACGCGTTGATTTGATTCGAGCCTGTTCCTCGTATTTTGAGGGCTTGTTCCTCACTGTAAAGTCGGACCTCGATGCATGAAAGTACGACGCCACTCCTCTGTCGCGAAGCCTGTTGGAGCGCGGCGCGCGTGAATCAGTTTTGCTTGAGGGCGGGCAATGCTGACCCTGACCCTCGTCAGCGGCATCCGCTGCTTTGCCTTGAGCGTTGTTGATGCATCTTTCTTGCCAGGGTGGATGTTTGTTGTTGTCTGTGCAGCTTGGGCTCGTGGGCTAACACATGGTCTGCTTGCTCTGGCTCACTCGACGCCAAGCAGCCCCTGCGCGTTTGGGTCCAATGAATCCGCAGGCTCGCTCGAGGGATGCCACGTGGGAAGTTTTGGTCCATGGACCAAGTTGACGCCGGCGTTCGGGCATTCGCGCTGGTCTGAGACGCTCGTCACGACTGGTTCTGGCTCTGGCTCTGGCTCTGGTTCTTCCGGCGTGGGGGGTAACCCTCAGTCGCGGCTTGGTTTGGGAAAGGGAAACGCGAGCGGGGTAGATGTCGAGCCAAGCGGGCAGATGTGTGGTGTAGACTACGTACGTGTCATGGCGTTTGTTTCGAAACGTGCGGCTATCTATCCAGGGTCACGCACGACTCACGGGCAGACGGAGACACGGAGACACGGAGACAAGGAGACAAGGAGACACGGTCACACTCACACGAGGCGAGGCACGCGCAGAGTCGAGCACCGAGGAAGCCGATTGTCGATTCAGTCTGGGAGGCTAGTCTAGGCGGCCGTGGCCGGTCTACATGATAAGGGCGAGCCCTAGGGCGGCGGCGGCGGCGGCGGCCAGACGGTTCAGGCTGGCTGCGTCGCGGTCGCGGGTTCCAGCCGCGACCATGGGCGACATGTTGTTGGCGTGTCCGGGACGTCTGTCTGGGGCGTCGCCTGCGTTGTTGGTGTTGGTGTTGGTGTTGGTGGTGGTGAGGGTGGGCCTGGCGAGATGGTCGTGGTGGTGGTCGACGTCTGGCTTGACGGCGTGGTCGTCGTGGCCGACGTCTGGATTGTTCTTGCTGCCGCTGCTGCTGCCGGGCTTGACGGCGTGGTCGTCGTGGTCGACGTCTGGATTGTTATTGTTGCTGCTGCTGCTGGGCGTGGCGTCGTCGTCGTGCTCGGCAGGTCCTCCGTTGTCGAGGGGTCTGGGGGCGGTTTTGCCGTCACCAGCAGGCTTGCTGCTGCTGGGTCGTTGGGCGTGTCCGGCGTCTGCCTCGTGGCCGCGCTCGGGACGGCCGGGACCCGAGGGCTTTCCAGACTCACCGTGGTGCGGCGGCGTGCGCGAGTCGGACTCTTTGGATGGGCCGGCGCCGGGCGAGGCAGAGGCTGGCGAGGCAGAGGCAGGCTTGACGGGAGGAGCAGGAGGAGCAGGAGGAGCAGGAGGAGCAGGAGGAGCCGGAGCAGGCTCGCACTTGCCGTCGTCGCACGTCCACATCTTGTGACAGTCGTCGCCTTGGCAGGGCCGGTGCTCGCAGCGGCCGCCCTCGCAGACGAGCTTCTTGTTGCACTCGTCTCCGTGGCAGGCCTGGGGTGCGCATTCGCCGTCGTAGCAGACGACCTTTTGGTTGCAGCCACGGCCGCGGCACTCGGAGTACTTGCATCTGTCGCCCTCGCAACGGACCAGCCTGTGCGGGTTGGCATCGGGCGACGTCTCGCACTGGTACTTGGTGCCGTCGAAGACTACGCGGACGGGTGCGCACTCGTCGCATGGCTGGCCGCGCACGCAGTAGTCGCCGTAGCAGACGACGACCTTGGTGAGCCACTCGGACGGGCCCTGCTGCTGATGGTGATGTTGCTGATGCTGCTGCTGCTGCTGCTGCTGCTGCTGTTCCGTGGTGGTCCAAGTCTTGGTCGTCTCCTGGCCCACGGGACAGTCTGTGACCGAGGGCGGGCAGGACGTGATGGTCATGACCTGAGTGCTGGTCACCACCTCGAGTGCCGGGCTGGGGCTGTCGTCCTCACGCTCGTAGATGGAGAGCAGGACATCAGAGGGCATCTCGTCACGACGACCGAGTGCTGCTCGGCCGCCGCATATTTGGTCCTTGTTGCCCGGACAAGGCTTGTTGCACTGGCCCGACGCGACTTTGCCGCTGCTTGGTTCGACGCTGTCGCCGCAGAAGCAGTCCCTGAATTCTGTTTGTTAGCATCGAGGTCGGCACGGGATGGTGAGAGGGCCATGTTTGCTCACTCGTCGTAGACGCCCAGGAATCGTGTACGGCAGATCGAGGCACACAAGTCTACGCTCATGGCACTGCTTGTGGCCACCCTTTGGAAGCCGGAAAACCCGCGCGGAGACCCAAAGCACCCGAGGAACTTGAAGGGGCCGACTTTTTCTGCTGGCCGGGGGGTTCCCGACGACGCAGGTCGCGCTGAAGCCGGCCGCGTCGAGGGCGCTGGTTGGGATGTGGCGGGAGCGTTGCTGGATTTACTGGACGAAGGGAACGTGGCCAAGGATGATGGTGCGCTGGCCTGACCTTCGGAGGAAGGCTTCGCGAAAGATGGTCCGGCCGAGGAGCCAAGCCGTCTGGAAGCATTGCTTGACCATGGCGAGACACTTGACGATGCCGAGACATTTGACAATGTCGATTCATTCCAGGTGGTGTTCTTGGATGGCTTTGATTGAGAAGACGACGGCTGGGCTGCGGTACCATTTGACCACGTCGAATCGCTTGCTGGAGCCGAGATATTGTACGGCGCCTGGTTGACAATTGGCGCCTGGGACGACGACGTGTTTGACCAGACGGGGACAATAGGGGACACGGCACCACTAGACTCGGCTGGTGTGTTTCTCGACGCCGTGGTATTAGACAAAATTGCATCTTGAGTCAAGGATGTTTCCCCGGGGGAAGCTGCATGTGGCGTTGAGTCGCTTGAAGACAGGGCGGCTCTGAACGAGGGTCCGGTCGAATTGCGCGGAGCCGAGCTGTGTGATGATGTGGTGTTGAAGTATCCTGCGAAAGTGGGCGAGCCTGGAGCCCTTGGAAATGATCGACTCCAGTATGAAGCCTTTGACGAGGCCCTTGATGATGGCCCAGATTCATCCGCTCTCTTCACGGCCCCTTCAACACGACAAGCCAACGCGGCCGTGACAGCCTCTGCGTCTTCGCAAACCTGTATCTCGACTGGCCATGTTTCCCTGCCCCCCGAGACGTCCAGATTCACATTCTTTCCTGGATTCCACGCCGCAACTGCCTGGTAACAGGCCCCGCGAACGTACATACGGGAGCACGCATTGTCGGCCGCCTTCGCGCTCGCAAGCGCCATGGCTCCCAGGAAAAGGATCCCCCTCATGATGACTTACCAAAGTATAACGAGCGAACAAAGTCAAACAGAACAGAACAACGAGATGAGCGAGTCTCGAGGGGCTCATGGGTTTCAAATCCACCATCTTTCAACGGGCATCTCCCCAAGGGGGCTTACCTTTATTAAGTAGCACATAACACGCGAGCGGAGGGAATAACCAGCCTCAACGGATGTTTGGTTCCGGCGAATGGATCCCCTCACGGGCCGTACGCCATACGAACACGACGCGAGCAAGTCCGGAGGAATGCTATCCCTCACGTTTGAACCTGGCCGAGATGGCGATGGCCTTATTGGTGAGTGTCCAACCGGCGCACAAATTCTCTCCTGCGGGACCCTGGACAAGCCCACGAAAGAAGAGCACCGGCAAGTCGCACATCCCTCGGGTAGAGGGGGCCGGCCAGATGAGGAATGGCACAATGGGGAGGAGGATGCTCATCTTGGCGATAACACATATCGACAATGATGAGCTTCGGTGAAGGTTGTTTTCAGAAGCAGACACTCCGTATCCATCATGATCATGGTGGATTCGAGGGTAGCGGGGCCTGTTATTGGGAAGGGAGGAGGCTGCAGAACCCTGACTGATCCTTCTTTTTTTTTTCCCTCTCTCCTCAGACTGAGAGAGCGAGAGAAAGGAATGGGAGTGCCAGTCAAGACTGTCTGGTTGGCTGAATGCCAAGGGGGTCGTTTGCCGACAGCAAATTCTGACGTGATTTCTTCCTTCCTCCCTCCACCGAGTCGAGTCCACTTTATCAGTCGGGAGACGCCGTGAAAACATACACAAAGACAGAGCCAGAGCCCTGTTCACGACAGACTCGCAACTCGCCACCTGCTGAGCGACGGTTGCGGGCTGCTTCTACTCACTCACGGCTGGCTAATAAAGCTGGCTTGGGCGCAGGATTATCTGATTGTGCCACGGGCCACAAGGATAGACATGTCTCAGCGCCACGCCACGTTGATGAGCGCGGATCTTGCCTGGGCTTGCAAAGAATACAATACTCCAACGGCGAGTCCGCGTACGATGACCTGGAGAGAATATTGCCGGTGGTCTTGAGCTGCTTCGAGAATTATAACCAAAAGAGCGTCCAGTGACAGTTAGCCACGTCAAGTTTGCAAGCAGTCGCTTTGCAATTTTGTCTATACTACAAGAGTCACTGCTCTCTGATGGATGTGGTGGGTGATTTCCAAGAACAACAACGATCGACATGTCTCGCTTGAAAAGAAGCCCCCCTTGTCAATAAGCCCTCTGGGCATCCATCCTTTCCAAGCGCATGGCGCCACTACCAATGCTTTGTGTGAATTTGCTCAAACAAGACCCGTTGGAGACCCGCCTCGTGACGATTCCCGGCCGTTTATTATTGACAGTACATGCCTTGTGTCACTTCTGAAAGGACCGCAAGATACAAACGCCAACTGGCTGGATCTTCAGGACGAACCTGCCACGTCATGTCATGTCGCGGAGCGAGGCTCACGCTCGGCAGCGTCTAATCATATTTATACACCCGCGAGCGCGCATCATGGGGAGCGAGCCAGAACCACGAGGCACAGCATCCTCATGATTGCGACTCCCGTGACAGAAAGACACCAGACTGACTGGTTGACGGTGCTGGCGGAATACCACAATGTTCCTCCTTCTCCTCACCTTTTCACAAACTCTCAGCTCGGCTGCCGCCCGCCCACACTCACACTCACACTCACACTCACACCCGCACGCAGACTGTTCAAGACTTCAACATGGGGCAGAATTCCCGTCTCCTGCGTTCCTTCGAATCCTGCACCTTGGCAAAATGGAACTTTGTTCGAATCCACGCCGGGTCCCCGCTCACCGAGACACCATGCTGGTCCGTTGGAACCGCAATCCAGTCCGCTTGACCTGGAACCTTTATAAACCTCTTCCCTGGGCATTCTAGATGTAGTATAACTGAATGGGCCAATGTGTAGCATCTCGCGCCAAGTTCCTGGCTGGTACCAGCGCGCCATTCAGATGGCGCTGTCGTCTGTGGCAAATTCCTTGCCTGCAAGACGAGTTTCTTCGAGAGGGGTTTCTGACGGCATCTCTATTCGGGTATAATTTACACGTCTGGCCGTGAGCTCGTGCACGAGTCGGTCCAAGCCGTGGGCTGAGATGTGTGCGGTCCGAAGCGAGCATTCCTGGGGGGCCTGAAAGCAGAGGCGCATCAAGTTCAGGCATGTCGTGGCGACGGTGTTTTACCTGTCGTCTTGCCGGTTGGAAGACGTGAAAACATGCGTTGGCATTATCGGCCGGCATCGGAGCATCAGAGCCTGCCTTTGCTATTGATTTTCACTCACGCACCGCGTAAATTTGTAGACTAACGAGAGCAGGCTTGCCGAGATAAAAGGTTCATGAGACTTTCGCCCTAGAAGTCGAGCCTGTTGCCAGGTGTGCTGCAAGCTTTGGGTGCGTCGTCATCCGCAGTCCCGGGTCACCTTACCCAGCTAGGGCTGCGTCACGATGGCGAGTGATGTCGGAGCTTGGACTGAGCACATTTCAAATTCACGTGTATCGTATCGACTTACTCGAGGTCCTTGGTTCGTCCACAAGAGCCATATGAGATGCCTGTACGTGTGGCCTACCCAGATGACCAAGGCATTGGCGGCCAAGACATGTCATGTCACATGGACGTTGGACATGAGGGCCATGGCTAGTTACGAGACGTAGGGTAGGAAGCGCTGTATAAATAGAGGGGTTCGGCTGCGAGGGGCTTTTGGAAAACCGAGGACCTTTCATACTAAAGTGCGTCTTGTGTAAATCGAGCTGCACTTGCTTCTTATTATACTTGTAGCTTGAAATTGCAGCTGTACTCTCCTAGCCTAGGTACAAGTTATTTTTTCTCTCTTGAGCCCTGCAAGCTAATTAAACAAGGTATATCATGTAAATGCTAGACACAAGAGCTGTAGCCACAAGACTAGGCGTAGGGCTCGCCAGGCGTGCCAGCTGACGGTTCATGGAGAGGACAACGGAGGACGTAGACTCTTCTCGTTTGCAAAAGTTGGAGGGAACAGGTTCCGGGCCGACACACGGGTTCCACGTCCACGACGTACCAACTAATCGGATGTCATGAGCTTGAGCGGCCTAAATGGTCACAGCCTACGTACGCTGCAACGCGTGGTAAGATACAGCCAGATCTTTGCTATTGGTGCTGGTTTTCTACATTGCAGCTCCAGTGTCAGGTCTCAAGACGGCCCGTCTTGGCTCGACTATTGCTCGTCAAGTAGTGCGCACCAGGACACGGCAACACATCGATTTACGAGAACACGCCGTGCCGAGATGCTGGCAAACGGATACACACATGTGGCATGTGAGCCTATAGGTCTGGTCTGCTCATCGACAAAACTAACCACCAGCTGAGGGAAGGGGAAGTGGCAAATCCAGGAGGGAGCTGCGCTCCCTCGACGATATCCGAGAGACCAGCAATGACCCTAACCCTACGCGGCCCCGACCCTCGACTGTGCTCGTCGAGCGTCAGTCCAGATTTGACCGCCGTCTCGATATGCCTCCAGGTTGCCGAATCGTCATAAACTCCAACACGGGCCATGTGACGGGAGTTGTTGAGTGGGCCGAACCGCGGATTCTGTCGCATAGCATATAAGGTGGTCTACCAGACACAAAAGTGTGGCGTGGGCCACGCCCAACTTTTGGTGTGACAGATTCCCCCCCCCCATTCGGGGTTTGTCTTGCGGGGTCCTGAGAATGCGCTTGGCCGCACGGATCCCAGGCATGACGACGGGCTTGTTTCGTTTCCACGGCAGATGTCGAATCGCCGCGGCTACAGAACCAAGCTGCCGGGTGCTCCACGATAATTGAGCTGCGGCGGCGGCGGCCGCAGCTATCACGTCACGATCCCCCTTCCCGCCCGTCAGTCCATCTAGCTACTCCGTACGGAGCACAGCCGCGGCTTGTCAGACCTAGCTGCTGGCTGCGATGGCTGTTCAATCCACCCCGTCTACCATCTACCGCGGGGCCATGGTCAAGCCGAGTCGACCGATTGACCGACCTGGCCGACACGGACCGATTGACCAAGGCCCCTACAAGACGTGTGTATAAAAAGCACCCCGGGCTCTTTCTTACTGGATGTGTTGCCCGGCTTGTTCTCCCGATCTTGGCACTTGATACATGAAACACGATCGATTCCGCATATGGCATTGTGCTAGGTCGCACCATCACACCTGGTGACCACCCCGACCGCGGTCGCAGCACGGAGTAGGGATGTGTTATCGCATCGGTCGCCGCCACGGAGTCACGGACGTTGTCGGGACCAGGGTTAGGGTTAAGCTTCATCTTGCCCTCAGATTTGCTCTGGGGCCGAGGGGAGCCGAAGCGGCAAATGTGGCCAATCTTGGATGGGGCGGGCGGATCCACCGTTTTCATTGGGCAGTCGCAGTCCCCCGGCAATAACCCAATTGTCACTGCAATTGCGACCTAAAGTCATGAGGTGGAGTATGTTTCTTTTTTATCGATAGTTTTGATGACGTTTCAAGAGGCATGCGTTTCAAGGGGGGTTGACAGGTCCGTTGCTGAATCGAGCGACTCTTTGGAAATCCCTTCCGGGCAGGCCGGGATCTGATAGATTGCGCCCCTATCGATTGATTTGCGACCACGAAAGGCGGCGGCATGTGGCGGCAACAGGCCCAGGGGCAGAAGCGCCGAGGTTCCGGGTTCCTTCCCTGCCGATCCCTCCGTACTCGGCTCGCTATTGGTGTGATCCGGAGCCGTAGACCCGATGGGGAAAGTGGAACAGGGGCCAGTTGAGCCCCAAACTCGGAGACTTCAACGACATGCAGGTGGAAACCGGTCGGCGGCGATGGCATGACGCATCAGCTATCTCGGAACTAGGCATCGCTGTTGGGACCTAGTTCCACCTAGCGCCACGAGTATACGACCGACGCCCAGTCGCACGACACGAGTGGGCGGACGTGGCGGTTGCTGGCGTTTGTCCTTGGCAACGGTCACGGTCACGACGTCGAGCCGGCGTGGCGAGCACACGCAGCAGAATTGGATACGTACGTGGTGCATTCCGAGAAACTGGCTGACTCGCAGAAATAAACACAAGACGCTAAAGCAACCCCTGAAAGTCAAGGCTGGATGAGCACGCGACCACACTTCCATACCTGGGTGTTCCTTGCGGTCCGGCGCACCGTCGGTGCTGGCCATGACACTCGCCGTTCTTGTTTGGAACCTGAGCCGGCCTCGAGTGCATCCATCCATCGCCTTGCGCGTCCCCCAGATTTAGTGAGGAAGTCAAAAGCGTCAGATGCCCTCGGTCTACGCCACACCGCAGCGTTTTCCGCATCTCCGGAAACGATACCCAAGGCCGCCGCTCGTGTGAGAGGCGACGTCAAGACTCCGCGTCGCCCGGCAAAGTTGGCCACCAGAGGTCGATAACAACACGGCCAACCCTCAAAATGGCGGTCAGCCGTCTACGCCTGCCCTTGCGTCTCTGCTCGGTCGCATGCCTGGCAATGGTTTTGGCCCTGGGCTATATCCTGCTCCGGAGTCCCCTTCTGATGGAGGCGTCTGCCGAGGCTCCCATACCACGCCCCGTCCCGGCCGGGAATCGTGACAGACACGCACACAAGGCCGACGGTGCCGGCTCTACCAAGTACTTCTCCGAGCCGGGGGGCAGCTACAACCTCGTGCACTACGACTCGAGATACTTCCAGAGGGAGCTGGATGCCGCGGAGCGACGCGCCGCCCTGCGAGCCCTCATCCGCAGCTACCTGAGTCTCACAAGCCATTACAACATCGAGACGTGGCTGGCGCACGGCACCCTGATGGGATGGTGGTGGGGGGGCCGCATTCTTCCCTGGGATTCCGACATTGACGTCCAGCTCTCCTTCGAGACCCTGGACCTTCTCGCCCGAGAATTCAACTTCACCGAGTTTCGGTACGACCTGCCTCCCGCCCATGGCCGGCCCGCCTCCAGGACCTACCTGCTCGACATCAACCCCTACTACAGCGAGCCCGGCATCGGTGACGGCAATAACGTCATTGACGCCCGATGGATCGACACCGAAACCGGCATGTTTGTCGACATCACGGCCCTGCGACGCGAGGACGACGGCTCAGGCGCATGGGCCTGCAAGGACGGCCACCGCTACTCCGGCACAGACCTGTGGCCGCTGAAGGAATCCGAGCTTGAGGGGGTCAGGGCCTTGGTTCCTGCCCAGTCGACCCTCCTTCTTCGCCGCGAGTACGGCGACGACAGCACCAAGAAAGAGGAGTACGAGGGGTACGTCGTTTGTGTTCTCCCGGAAGCGTCTAAGAGAGGCCTGCTGACAATGTGCGTCTTCCAGACACCACTGGGACCATCATCTCCGACTATGGGTACAGGACGTAAACAAGTAGGACGCCCGTGTCCCCGATCCTATCGGCATTTTCACGTCTAGCATACACATACATGGGGCGTTGGGTTCTAGAGTCATCGATTCATCACACAGGCTTGTCTGGCGTTCGGCCGTGTCGGATCCGCGAGAGAGTGCTGTGTTTGGCACGCATTCTGTCGTCATCAGATAGCGACGGTTGATTTACTACAGGTAAGGGTTTTTTTTATAAACGCATATAGAAGGCCGCCGAGGAGACGCGGCCTCGTGCAAACACGCTGTCATTCCGACAAGATTTGTATTTGGACACTTGGCCCCATGATGAGCGGCGGCGAGAGGTTTGGACTCCCAGTTTAGCCGCGACGGAAAGCTCTATATATTTGCACTTGCAGCACACACCACACACCCTTTGTTGTCTGCGAGTGCTGAATGGAGGGCATCTAGCAAGGACCGCGACACGGCGGCCATTGAGCTGGCGAACTGGCTGAACCAAGCTGAAAGAAACAAGACACGAGGCATCAGCCCCTTGCTGCCTAGTTAGGTTACACACTTAAGGGCTTTTCTTGTATATAGCTCTCGGTGGTCGGGTCCATCAGACTGAGGAACCAAGGACCTTTGAGACTATACGATATTGAATGTGAATATGAGTTGATGCTCCAAGCCCTGATCCTTGTCATCAGCCCTTGTTGCAGAAAATATGAGAACCGTTTGAGAACTCTGCTCCTTTGTCGATTGCCGTCCTCAGTCTTCTTATTCTTGCGAGCTTAGTCGTAATTTTTCTTGTTCATACACGACTGCAGTGAGCTGCTGGTCTGACGAGTGGCAGTACAAGTCGACTAGCAGATATACCATGTATAGCTGTGCCACAAAGAGAGCAGACGATGCCCCATCACGAAGAAGGACGTAAATTACCTAGTTGGATGTCTCTCCTCTCGCGCCGTTACAGCTCCCCCCCAAACGCTACCTTGACCGTTACTCCCGCCACAAGTAGGCAGAATATTCCTGCGGGGACGCCTATGAATCTGACGACGCTTATCGGGACGAACTCTCGACCATGCTCAGACATCTGCCGCGAAGCGAAAAGATACTGTCGCGACGTCAAAGACATCCAGGTGATGACCCATACGAAGCCCAAGACTCGTTGCCAGAGGGGCGTGCCCAGGTCCGGTTGACGGGCTTGCTTGGGAGCACCAAGTCTCTTCCAGGCCTCCTGAATACCATCCTCCACCATGAAGCCCACGGTGAAGAGCGGGAAAAAGACCATGGCCTTGGACTGACTTGGGGGCACTCCCTGCACCGAGTCCACCACCACGTGCAGAAGCCCTGATAAAAGAAACACGAGCAAGGTGTTGAGGTATCGCTCCGTCAGCGACGGCCGAGGAAGTCTCAGCAAGTCCCGTGCGAGGTAATTAGCCCAAGACGTAAGCGGCCATCGCAGCATCTGATGCCAGAACTTGCTGTCGCGGCCAACCATTAGACTTGACATGTGCAGAACGGCAGGGGCGACAGTTTTCGAAACCACGACACACCGACCGCCGTCAACGGGCGAGAGGAAGAGGAAGAACGTACCCCCAAAAGTTGCGCAACGTGAATGCCGTCCACATGCTTCCGAACAAGGGCGGCCAGTCCTCAGGAGGCGAGGCCCCCGACGAAACGGCAACCAAGGAAACGGCTCGGTAGCCCGCATCGACAAGCACTCTGGCCACGAGGAACCATGAAGCAACAACCATGAAGACGTACCCCGGCAACTCTGCCGCCGTGACCTCGGAGTATCGAGAAGGCTTCCGCGCCGACGGGGCCGCCGGCGACGACCCGTCCAGCCTCGAGACGGCGCACATGACGTCCAGCAAAAGGTACTGCCACGCGAAAATGGCAGCTTGTCGAAGAAGGAATGCCGACTTGGGGATTCCCGGCCTCGCTTGCGCCCCAAGAGCCCCCGGATGTCGCGGGATGTTCTTGACGGCCCAGGGAGTCCCAACGCCCCGAGAAGCAAGGAAGAGTCCTGACGTGCGCCGGATTCTGGCCATTTTGCTGGACGAGCTCTTCAGGAAGCCGGCCCGCAAGAGGGAGTTTGTATCTATGGGGTGAAGCAGAAGCAGATTTGCCGCCTGGAGAGTCGCAACAAACATGTGCACCCCTGCGTTGGCGAATTGGACAGAAATGCTCGACATCCCCCGCGACAGCAGGAAGAACTGGTACATCAGCCATGGCGAGCATAAGCACCACGCGTGTCGGAAGTAAGAGCCTCTGGGGGTCGTGATGAGCAAGAGGCCGGGAACTGCGGCCTGCGCGACGCAAAGACCAATGACTGAAATCAGCGGTGCCGGGGCTCCCGTTCCATCTCCCGCCCAAGAAGAGTGCATTCTTTGCTATCTCTAGGGACCGAGGTCTGGTCTTCCCTGAAACAGCTCGTCGAGAGGCGTGGGCCGGCGGCAGCAGCACGCTCGACACGCCGTTGATGTGATGTCGCGTCTGCAAAGCTCTACGCAGACGCGTGCTCATTTGTTGCTGACTTGATGCAAGCAGTCGTTGGATATCACGACGAACCCTTGAGCATTGGTTTCACGAGGTCGGATCCGGGCCGCAGCTCGCTTATAATAGTGACCTGGGCCAGTTTGAAAAGGTTTTGGGCCAGCCCAACCTCTTGGGCTCGAGAGCACCCAGGAACCGCTTTCTGAACACATCTACTTCTCTTTCCGGGTCAAGGCGAAGAGCTGAAAGTCGTGTTGCAGACAGCAACCAATGGTGCCACGACACGTCCTGATGCAGACCCTGCCGCCGTGGACGCTCCAAAGCGGCCGACCAAACGCCCCAGAGATGGCCGGTTACGCGGGAGGGCTGCATATTCTGTGGAATCAGGCGTGACGCAGAGTCTGGCGACGATTTCGTGCATGGAAGGACCTCGGAGTCCCGGCACGCATCGAGCTGAATCATCCACAACGCGGCGCACTGCCCGTGAGCCAGGTGCGCCTTATCTACGAGGACATTCGGGGATCCTGCTCGGCATCGGATTCATTGCCGGAAATCAAGCTGCAAGACGGTGGACCATGCGGCGGCCCAGGGCACAACATCTCCGTCACGTCCTGCGCTTCGTGGTCTGAGGGGGCCTGTATGGTTGACATACTAGCATCAATCTGACTTTGTTTGATGTCTGCTATGAGTAACGTGTTTTACTGTGGAAGCTTTTGATTTTGCCACGTGAATGCAAAGGGCGGAATGAGCCTCGATGACTTGGAAATCTACGTGACCCTGGAAGTTGTGAGTTGCCACGAGGGCAAAGACAGGTGGAAGCAGTACGGGGGTACATTGCAAATTCAAACGTCTTTCACTTCCTTCAATGTGTCATGGGGAGCCAGAGCTTCAGACTGCCTCCTCGACTTGCTCGAGAAACTAAAGTACCTCGCATGTCCGATGGTGAACTGCAGAATGCGGATACACATGCATGGTCGCTGTCCGTCGCCGTGTCACAATTGTAACACTGATCCACAGTTTCGCCGTTATTTTCTGCCGTATTAGCATGATTGAGTCTATCTGACGTACGCGTGCTGCTGCAGATGCAGAATGCGGCCTGGGCCACTGCATCGTTATCGAAACTTGGCGCATGTGACGGACCAAGGAAACCGTTGGAGTACCACAGCATGTCTTGTATTCCCTTTAAGATCAGGGCACGGAGACATCGAGCTGTGCTTGACAAGTCATCCTACTGTACCGGCTTCTGCAGTTGCGTTGCTAGCGTCAACCTCGTCATCTGCACTGCTTGCAACGCGAATCGTTTGGCCGGGCTCGTTGCCAACCTTGTGAGATGCTCACGCAGGTAGGTGAGATGCTGCCCCAGTTCCAGAATACAGTGTGCAGCGAGCGTATGAAGCATCTCTAACGAAACCAACCCATGAAGCAGTGGCGACTTGAACCACTGCTCCTAAGCGACGTCACCCTTACAACCGTGGAGAATTCTAGTTAGATCGACCGTGGCGAGGATGTTCTTGTTGTATTGGCTGCTGATTGCGGCCCTTGGCTTTGTTCTCGGCTTTGTCCTCGACTACTTGTTTCTAATCAAGTACCCCGACGAACTACCTACCATCAGATACAACCGTGGTCTTTGGTCTCACATCAGAAGCAACGTTGGCTACTTCACCAGCCAAAAGGCATGGATCAGAGAGGGATATAACAAGGTACATGTGACTCTCATCCCCATGGTCCTCCACACACACGGGGGGGAATCCGATCTGCTGACCTCGCCGCGGATGATGGATGCAGTACAACAAGAAAGGCCTGCCATTTCTCGCCCCATCGGGCTTGTCACGGCCCCATGACGTCGTGCTGCCTCGGTCCATGCTCCCGTGGCTTCGTGAGCAGCCCGAAAGCGCCGTGGACGCCCGGATGGCCCATATGGTCGGCGTCTACGGTGACTACAACTTTCTCGACTCGCAGATTATCCGGTCTCCGTTTGGCATGAGGGCTATCCAGAAATCGCTGAACCGCAGCTTGCCAGGCCTCGTCTCCGCCGTGGATGAAGAGGTCCAGCGCGCCGTGAACTCGGCCCTGAAGGACGTTGGCGACGACTGGACGAGCATCAACCTCTGGGACATGTGGCAGGCGATTGTGCCATCCGTGACCAACAGGATGCTTGTCGGCCCTACTCTCTGCCGCGACAAGCAGTTTCTAGAGGCCATGGTTGGTTTCACACACGTGGTCCTGCGAAACTGCGTCCTATTACGCCTGTCGCCGTCCGTCCTGCACCCCGTGCTGGGCCGGCTGCTGGCCGTGTCGAACTGGATCTACTGGCGACGCGCGTACAAAAGGGTCGGACCCGTCATCACGACTCGGATCGACAAGATGCGCCGCAGAGCCAGGGGCGACCCGGAGCTGCGAGGCTGGTCCCCCCCCGAGGACTACATCACCTGGCTCGTCGGCTTGGCCTTGGAAGAAGGCCGCGCCAGCGAGCTGGACCCGGTCGTCATATCGAAACGTCTGCTGCCCATCGAGTTCGCGGCCATCGACACGACCGTCCTCACGGGAGTCCTATGGATCCAGGACCTGCTCAAGACGCCATCCGTCACCGACGACCTCACGGCCGAGCTGCGCGTCCATCGGCCGGCCCCCGGCGAATCTTGGTCGGCCAAGGCGCTGCAGTCGCTTGTCCAGGTAGACTCTTCTATCCGCGAGTCGCAGCGCCTGAGCAACTTCCATCTCACGCTCGTCGAGCGCGTCGTCGTCGCACCCGACGGCGTGTCCCTGCCCGGTGTTGGGTGGAAGCTGCCAAGGGGCGCCCACATCACCGTCAACATGGACAGCAGCCATCACGACGAGGACATGTACGACGACGCCCAAACGTACAAGGCGTTGCGCTTCTCGACGATGCGCAAGGAGCGAGATGGGAATCCCGGCGCGACTGCCGACGCAGCAAAACCTCTGGGCATGGTATCGATGAACGACCACCACTTTCCATTTGGCCACGGAAAGCACGCATGGTGAGACTCACACAAGCTAACACTCGAACAAGCGTTCTGTGCCGTGCAGGAACGGGAGCTGACACGCATCCGTAGTCCGGGCCGCTTCTTTGTCGCGCACGAGATGAAGCTCATCGCCGCACACCTTCTGTTGAACTTTGATCTGGAGGCGGCAGATGACGCTCCTTCTAGTCCGGTATGGATCGGCGCCGGTATGATGCCACCATTTAGAAGCCGCATACGGGTAAGGAGAAAGTCGTCTTCTGCGGACTAGTGTCAGGGAAATCGATGGCGGCACCAGCCGAGCCCACGAATTTTTAAGCGGTCTGCAGGGAAGAGCGTCGGGCGACCATCAGGCCGTGGGAATAAGATGATCTCTCGAAACTTGCTTGTCAGAACAGAGTCTCAATACTATACACTGTTACTATTGTACCTGAACAGTGCTTGTCTTGATCCGGTGAGCAAGCACGGGGCTAGCAACCGTTGAGTCTCGGAACGGAGAGACGCAGCAATAGCGGCCGTCGTCAAAACACTCACACTATCCAACGTACGTGTGCTTCGTCGGCCCTGACGATGGGGAGCGGGAGAAGCACAATCTTCAAAGAACGGACCGACAATGAGTGTGACCGCCGCCCCTTGTCGAGCCGCGTCGCTGTTGGGCCCGAATCTTCCGTTGCGACGGTAGATGAGGCTGTCCGTTGTATGCAGTCGTTGGGCTACAGCGGTTCAGAAGGTCCAGAGCACTTGTCAGGTAACTTACGAGAGCCGTTGCGTTGCGTCTTGTGGATTTCAAGTCTCTGGAGAAGCAGCAGATGAACGGTTTTCCCAAAGGTTTCACAACCACGGCAACGTGCGTCTGCAGAGGTGGACTGCTGCCCTGCTCCAGATTCGCCTTTTCTGTTGTGCCGTCCTCTGCGGATCCCACTCGTCTTGCCCAGTAGCAGTATGTACCGCGGCCTTGGATCGCGTCAGAGTCGGTAAGTGAGTGTGTTGCTCGGACGGCAGCCCGCCATGCACTTTATCCCAAGCAATAACGGGGCAGAATAAACATGGTGCCTCAGTCTCGTGTAGCCCGGCCTCTGTGGCGGAGGCATCGAGGTCATTGATGCCGTGGGCCCTTTGGTATCACGATGCATCCTTTGTGCGTGTGCAGCCGGCTTCGGCCTCGGCTGCACGAGGAGCTTCCGCAATGACGTGTCACCTATCCGTGTCATGGCATCCGCAGGGGTCGTTGAATGGATGTCACTAGGCCACTCATCGTGCGAACACAATGTAGCGTGTTTTTCGAAATACCGACGGAAATAATGCCAGAGACACGGCTGCTCGGTCCCTTGGCCCCTTTGGCCGTCACACGTCAAGCACTGCCTGTGAATGCTCCCTTTGAGGCGGCAGCACCCATGTATCCATGATCAGCGGACTTTTGGTCCCCTCGGCGAACCTGGGCGCATGCCATGGTAGTCCGTGCCTGCCAAGGCTATTCCCAACCTCGAGGAATGCCGAGCTGGACAGCCCGCAGGTTTGATATCCAGAAACGGGACTCAAACAGGCCGCTGGGAAAGGTTTAATGAGGCTGCACTTTGATTCCAACATGATTTACACCCAAGCGTCTCCCTGCTCTTGGCAACATGGGAGTCCACATGGATCATATGCGCTGCGACCGCAGATGTGAGAGAAACACGTGGGCAAAGCAGTCCGTGAGTCGTGGCCCGTGGGCATTTATTAGATTGATAACACGACACGTTCGTGGACGCGGCCAGTCTCTTCTGCCACGGCTTCTTGCAAGCCCAGTCCCCTCTTGACGTCTCTGTACTTGACTTTCTTTGGTCCTCGCGCCGCCAGCTACCAGATCTGCACACAACAAGCATTCGTCAAGCTAGAGATGGAGAGATCCAACTCCCAGCAGCCATGGCCAGCAGACTGACTGCTCTGACAAAATTTCAGTGTATGAAAACACGGAGCAGAAATTAATCATTACATGATACACTTTGGAGTAGCCCCCCGCCCCCACGCTCAACACCTTTCCGTGTTGCATCTTTTTTGATACTGCCGAGAGAAATATCCAAACGGGCATTCGACGCCGACCTTTTCTGTCCCTTTCCACAGGGGATCCCTCGCCACCGCTTGAAATACAGGCCGTGAAAGCTGTTCCGGCCACGGCAAGATTCTGCTGAAAAAAAAAAAGGGAATTGCTACACGGGCATGACACTTTGGCTACACGGGCATGACTCTTACACGGGCATGACTTTTACCACTTCTGATTGGTCGCATTGTCTCTGTTAACGACGCTGGATTCTGCCACCTCAGCCGCAAGTACCTGGGCCATTTTAACCTTGCTTCTGTGTAAATTACTTCATTTCGGCTAAGCTACTACGCAGCAACCCAGTGGTCGCGCAGTCGGGGCGACCCCCTCGAGCTTGCTTTCTTCATTTTCGTAGCTTTTAATAAACCATAATACGGCACCCTATGCTGTAGAGATAGCGACCAATTCTTTCACTACAATCTTGTTCTCTTCTCAAGACGTCAATGTCTTTGCCTCGCACACCTCCTCGCAGGTCGCGGAGCCCTAGTCCCAGTGATCAATCACAAAGAGGAAAGCGACACAAATCCAGTCGGCGACGCAGATCTAGTCCTTCCACAGTTGAAGACCGACCACAATCCGCGAGTAGCTCTGCTACGAGTATCGGTCAGTTCTACGGCCTCGGGGACGAAAATGCACTCGATAACCTGTTCGCCTCTTTCCCGCAAACACTTTCAAGTCTCCCACACCCCCATGGTTCACAGGGCCGCCATGAGCCTGCATGGGGCCTTCGATCTGACTATGAGATATATCTTCAAAATGACTTCTTCCGTGGAAAAAGATGGAGCCAGCGAGTCAGAGCGCTTATACCAGGCCCAGAATTTGATCCATTCGCCTCTGAACCTCCCGAATCACCCCCATCCGCCCAGCATCTCCCAACAAGGACAAGAGCCGAGTTCGAGTCCGCAATGCGCATAGTACGAGAGGTTACCGGCGAAGGTCGAAGGCTAACTGTAGACCTTGCTCGATCATACGAACGTGTACAAGCTTGGCGAGAGAGATGGGGATGGTCACCATTAAGTTTCGAAGCATATGACTCTCCTCCACCGTACTCTCCACCTCGTAGGTCACCCACACAACCTCCTCGAATATCACCGACGCCCGAAAATATTAGTTCCTCGCCTATGCGACAGTCTCTATCTCCCGCCCCGGAGCCAATTCCGAACCCAATAATCCCTGGCGACCCAGCGCCCTCGGCCGAAGTTCTTTTTAAAACAACCAACGCATTTGCAAAGGAGAACGGATTTGGTATTATTCGGCGGAATAAATATTCCTATAAGGGACGGTTGATTAGGTACTCCATTCAATGCGACCGGTTTGGACAATCTCGGGCCTCGGGGGGTTCTGGTCTTCGAACCCGAAGGTCTCGGAAGTGTGATTGCAAATGGATGATAATTGCTGAAGCCCTAGAGGAAGGCAAGTGGCTTCTTCGACAACATAGAGACCCGAAACATCACCAGCATAACCATGAACGGAGTATTACGCCATCTGCGCATGTTTCCCACCGCCGCCTTACTACACCAGTTAAAGCAACCATCGAGTCAGCAAGCCGTCGCGCGGGTATTCGAGCCAGTGATGTAGCTGCTATGGTTGAGGAGCAATTCCCCGATACAACACTCCTGCGGAAGGATATCTATAATGCCCGTTCGTTCATTAACCGAGAGAAGCTAAATGGCTATACACCTACTGCGGCATTGATCAAACTCTTTGATGAGAAGAAGATCCCATACATCGCGAAATGGGCCGATGATGATCCAGATAGACTGCTTGGTCTTGTCTGGACCTTTCCGTACTGTCTACAGATGTGGAAGCGCTTCCCCGAGGTTATTAGCTTTGATAACACATATAACACTAATCGCTTCAAGCTTCCTTTATTCCAGGCTACTGGCCAAACCTGTCTTGGAACTGTGTTCAATGCTGCATTTGGCTTAATAGATAACGAGAGGAGGGAGGGGTTCCAATTCCTTGCAGAGAGTGTTCGCAAGCTCATTACAAAACACTCACTCAGGGAACCAGATGTCATCATCACAGACTTCGACAAGGCTATGAAAGCTGCCGTTAATGATCAGTTTCCAAATGCACAGCAACAGCTTTGTATTCATCATATCCTTTCAAACGTTTTGCTTAAATCGAAGACTAGGTGGACGGGCCAACGTGAGGACAGTACTACTAGCCCTAGCGCTAGTGACAGTGAAGACATTCCCTCACAGGCGGATGGCGGGTTGAGCACTACAGATAAGCATCTGATCGAAGATCGGTCGAGTAGTGATAAGATTCCTCATACTTACCAAGGCGTTGTTTTAATGTGGAAAAAGGTTCTCTATGCCGAGACTGAGGAAGCGTTTGAGCAGGCATGGAGAGATCTTTGTAAAGAGTTCGACGACCAACGAGCGATCTTACAATACCTCTACTCGACTTATATGCCTGTTAGTGCTCAATGGGCACGTTGCTTTATCCGTCGTTATCGTAACTTCGGAATCCGAGTTACGTCCGGCACAGAAGCAAGCAACAATAATATCAAAAGCTATCTATTAAATGGCATGAGCCACCTCTACCGACTCGTCGAGGCAATGCAGGATATGATACATGACCAAGAACGTGCCTTTAAGGATGCCTGTGGACAGGATGATGTCCTGACTGCTCCACAATACCTAGGTTCGATGGGAAACTATCTTGGTGAACTACGAACAACCATGTCATCGAAAGGACTTGGGTTAATCAACAAGCAATACTGTATTGCTCGCAAATTTCTGCCGACGGGGAAGAATCCCTTCCCCGACTCTATTGGACTTTGCGACGACGACTGTACGGTCTCTATTGAGCTGGGAATCCCATGCTATCATAAAGTCTACGCAAAGCTAGATTCTGACACACGTTTCACTAAATGGGAGGTCCACCCACGCTGGCGACTACGGGAATCGGCATCTCAAGATCCATACCGACGAATTCTTGACCCGAAAGTTGCCACTGCACTACGTGGAAGGCCAAAGAATACAGCGCAGGTTATCCCAGAAAGCCTAGCTATTACATCAAGTAGCCGATCTGATAATCAACCAAGTGGGCGACGAGGTCGACCGCCAGGAAGTCTCAATAAGCCAACTCTTGCTAGGAGAGTGCATAAAGCTACTCGAGAAACCATCACACAAACTGGTGGCCAAATTGGCATCTCAGCCCAGCAAGGGCCAGGTAGACCTTCTAAAGTCCTAAATGCTGGGAATACGACAGGCGTGCGGTACAGTGGACGGAGGACGCAACGAAACATTCGCAGGACAAGGAGTCAATGGGAACTGGCTAAGAGTGATGACGAAGATCCAGATTGTATCGTTGTGAGGCAATAAATTAAGTAGACCACATCACGTCTTTTGCCAGTATTTGACAGTTACTGGCTAACAGTACAAGGACGGTAGTTTAATCCGAAATGCAGGCTTGCAAGATAGCAGAAGACCAATCGCGCCCACAACGATAAGTGACTGCAATTCATGGTGATGTAGGAGCTTGTTAGTGAAGTTGGCTACACCGCCTTTCCGAGGAAGTATCTGTGGGGCCAAGAAAGTATGCGACCAATCAGAAGTGGTAAAAGTCATGCCCGTGTAAGAGTCATGCCCGTGTAGCCAAAGTGTCATGCCCGTGTAGCAATTCCCAAAAAAAAAGCACCACCAAAGATTCCCGTCATCGGGGCCTCTGTCATGTTTGAATTTCAACCACCAGAGAGGCGACAGACGAGGGCTTCGTCTTTTCCGCGGCAAACCGCCGCAGCCACCGGGTCGTCGTTTCCAAGGCGTACGTTTTATCCGTCGATGCCTGTCGAGATCTTCAGCGCGGATATCCCCCCGTAGCATTTCACCTGCCGCCTGACCGAGGCCGACGAGCCCCTTGGCTTGTCGACGACGAGCAGGACCTTGACGTTTTGGAAGGACGCGCCCAGCTTCAGCAGGTACCCCCTCTTCTTGGGCTTGAAGACGAAGTGGACGGAAGCCCAGGACGACATGGGAATTGCCAGCTTGATGCGCCGCGAGCGCCGGTCCGTCGCGGGTTTCGGGAGGCCGGTCGGTCTCGAAGCCACGAGGATCGCCTGTCGCGCGAGCTTGCAGAGGAGGACGATCGTCCAGACCATGGACAGCGTCTCGGCGTGGCGCTGGATGGGGGCATAGCCTTGGAGAATAAAGTCACGCGACAGGCGGTACGTGTGCAAGGTCGCGACGACGAGAGTCTGGTTCAGTCCCTGGGCGGCGAGGGCGACGACGTCGTCGGCGTCGAGGTCACGACTAGATGGCGTGCAATCATGTCCGAAAACAGACGCGTCCATATTGCACCGCTCTCTTCTTCTCCCGCGCCAGTGAGTAGGGAGTGTGCAGAGAGAGGAGGAGGCCCCGGGACTCGCTCGCCCTCCATGTCGGTTGCGTATCGCGCACTTCTTATGTGTGGGCTGGCTCGAACCGACTCGCCTGGCCGCAGCTCCGTCGTCCGACACCAACGCCGGTCTGCTTGGTCTCGCCTGCTTCCATGGGCTCAGACCTGGTCACTGCGCCTGTGCCGGCGGCGAACGCCTCGAGCCGGCCGAGTTCATTGGGCCGTGGGCGTGGCGGGATCGACGCGGGTTGCATGAATGTCGAGCAGAGTCCCCAGTTGGTGGTCGCCGAAATCCGAATGCCGACTTGCCAGAGAAGCCCGGTGTTCTAGAAGCGACTGCCGCTCAGAGGGCAGAAAGTTGGCTTTGGTTTCGTGATTGTCATGTCTGCTTCTGCATCTACCGTCCGTGTCATGCCTCTTCCGTTGGGCAACACATCAAGCTTGGTTCTATCAGACCGTCACTCGCCCACTCACTCTCCCGCTGCCGCAAGCAAGTATCAGCCCTGTGAAGGGGGAGGGGAGACATCCAACGAGCTCAATTTGTGTCGCCGTGAGTCGATCCTGTTGGTCTGATGCCTGGGCAGCGGCGAACAAAATTGCCAGGCACCCTCTTCACCCTTGGCCTGGCGATTTGGCCGGTTGAATCGGAAAAGCGCCTCACAGGACTGACCGGTCACAGGAGACGGAAGGCCACAGGATAACTTGGACACCTGGGTCGGTGTTTGGATGGATCGCATGGCCCGTCGAGATACGTTGAAGACTGGTGTACTGGGTGGCGCCGGGGTAATGCTAATGTCGCCGTCTTGGGCCGTGGAAAGCCTTGCAACTTAACCGAACGGAAACTGAAATGCGGTTTCGCCAGACTGCCCGCTTCAAAAGGCAAAGCAATCGAGTGGCATGAAGTGCCTGGATTTTCATCTCCTCTCCCTACTGGGACAACTTCTCTACCGTACTACCGCCTGTGGCCGTCTTCCCAAGGGAGCCTCTCCTCTCGGGAGCCAAAAGAGCCAAAGCAGCCAAATAGCCATGTCTATAAACATGCAGAAATTGAAGCGACGAGGGTTATGAACTATGTCATCCTATGTCGTTCAAGAGCTCTGCCGCGTAGCCCATAAACCTAATTCTAGCAACCATGACAGGTTTCTCATTCGGCCCGGGGCACTCTCGTCAAGTAGCCCCTGCCACGTTCCACCAACACATTCAAATTCCCCAGAAACCTGCCAACACAACGCATCCGTCGACATGGCCCAGCGGCATACATGCGGGCCTCGGGCCCCAAGTGCGTCGAGGCCACCGGTGGGGATGCATGCACCTTGGGGCGTACCCGTCTTGACCGTCAAGTCCGCCGCGGATGCAAACCACCGCCGTGGACCTATGAGGGTCGAATTCGCCGACAACCTACGGAGTACGGAGCTTGGGTCGGTCCCAACTTGCAGCTCCAGGCACGCAACGGCCCTGCTCAAGCCACCAAGTCGCAGGGGTTCGTGTGGTGCGATGCTCGCCGCACACCGCCTCGGAATTCCCAAGATGTTTTTTCGCGCTCAACCGCCACCCATCCGTGACGGCGGTCCTTGCGATTCCCCCGTGGCAGCTCCGTGGGCGGAACAGACATGCGCGCGTCTGGCCCGATATCGCGCCTTCTTTTGCTGGGCCCCTCGATCAACAATCAGAGACGATGAATGGCATGGCTGGGCCTCCTTGGTACGACGGGTGTGACAGAATCGTTACAAGTTCAAGCAAGGCACGGCGATGAGCCGGATGGATCGGCAGTCGACGGCCCCGCCTCGGCTGTGGACCCCGAGTTCAGCGGCGGAGGTTAATTAATTTATAATAAATAAAGAGAAAGAAAAAGAGAATAAAAAACTAATTAAGAATAAGTTAGTATATAGTACTAGGAGATATTATAATAGTAGATAATATTATATGTAATATTTCCTTAAGACTATTATACTAAATAGTAAGTATATTATCTATATTTATAGCAAAGCCTTTATATATACTTTTTATATATAATGTAATATTATAAATATAGCTAGAGCTATAAAGTAACAGGAAAATATACTATTATACTTAAAGTAAGGTAAAAGTATATCTTTAACTATAATATAGCTACTAATAGTATAAAGTATAATTAATTTCTATATTTATAATAGACTTAAGCTATAGGCTTAAGTATATACAAAGCACTATATTAGTGCTTTATTAAATACTTTTAAAATATATTTTAAGACTTATATATATATATAATAGTATAAAAAAGAGAGTTAGAGAACTTCTCCTTTTCTCTCTTTTCTCTGTAAGTTTATAGTTAATACTAGTAATGCTTACATATAGTTGCCTGTAAGGCTAGTCCTTGTTATAGTCTGAGCTATGCTCGACCTTAAAGATGCGATGCAATAGATGCAATAGATGCAATAGATGCAATAGGATAGGGGACATAGCTCGTGACGTATATAGTGCTAGATTGAGCAAGCTTAGGGCAGCTTGTTTATTATGTACTCTTTTAGCTTAACAGCTAAGGGTCTAGTACACTACCGGGATAACTGCAGCTAGCACTCGCTATAGCTTAATAGGGCTAGTCTATTACAGTCCTTAACAATAAACATAAAAAGAATTTTAACAAGTATAATTAAATTATTAGTGTATATAGAGAATATATAATAACTTATACCTTAAAATACTAGTAAAAACTAGAATGTAATATTATATAATAGTACTTATATATTGAGAGATAGTAGAGTATTTTATTGCCTAAAAATATACACCTAGAAGGACAAACACCTAAGACTGCTATAAACTACAATAAGTGCGCGAACTTATAAGATTTAGCCTTGTCAGCCAAAAAAATCAACAATCTAGGGGTGCATGCGCTGTGTGTAATTGCGCAGTAATATAAGGTCAATTTGCGTCTCCAATTGCTGGAGCGCGTTCCACTTTTGCGTGGTGCAGTTGACCTGGCGATTTTCCGCCAACAAGCCTCTATAGAGAATTATAAAGTTAAAGAAAGAAAATACACTAATAGATATAACTTAAGACTAGCTAATTAAGTAGTGTATACTATAAAAAATAAGTTAAATAGATAAATATATTTGTAATTTAATAGAATAATATAAGCTTATATAAAGCTACTTTATATAAAAACTAAATAGCCAGAAAGTGTTAAGGGACTAGCCTTATAGACAACTATATGTAAGCATTACTTGTACTAACTATAAACTTAGAGAGAAAAGAGAGAAAAAGAGAAAATTCTCTACCCCCCTTTTTTATACTAATATATATATATAAGTCTTAATATATATTTAATAAGTGTCATAGTCTGAGCTATGCTCGACCTTAAAGATGCAATGCGATGCAATAGATGCAATAGGCGCTGCACGCATAGATGACTGGATAGGGGACATAAGCCCGTGCCGTGACCTATATAGTGCCAGATTGAGCAAGCTGGGGCAGCTTGTTCATTACGTACCCTTTTGGCTCAATGGCCAAGGGCTCCAGCATCGCTGGGATGACTGCGGCTGGCACCCGCTATAGCCCAATAGGGCCAGTCCATCACAATAAGGCACTAATATAGTGCCTTATATATACTTAAGCCTACAGCTTAAGTCTATTACAGAAAGTAACAGAAAGAGCTTAAAAAAGTATACTTAATTTATTAAAAATGTACTAAATATATCTACCTCTTATACTATAAGTACTTAGATAAAATAATTAAAAGACTCTTATTCTTCTTGCTATCTATAGGCGCTATTGCCTTTCTAAGGTGTAAGCACTAGCTGCTACACAGTTAAATTAGTATATATTATAGATAAAGATAATTACTATATAGATATTTTACTAAAATACTTCTATATAAGTAGTAGAAATAAGTTAATACCTTAATATACTAGTAAGAAATAAAAAATAAAATAATTCATTACAATTATATATAAAGATAGAGTAAAATATATACTAGTAGACTGTGATAGACTGGCCCTATTAGGCTATAGCGGGTGCTAGCCGCAGTTATCCCGGTAGTGTGCTAGACCCTTAGCTATTAAGCTAAAAGAGTACGTAATAAACAAGCTGCCCTAAGCTTGCTCAATCTGGCACTATATAGGTCACAGGCTATGTCCCCTATCCTATTGCATCGCATTGCAGCACATCGCATCGCAGCACATTGCATCGCATCGCTAAGGTCGAGCATAGCTCAGACTATAACATAGACTTTTTAAGTGCTAGAAGTAGTTTTTTTAATATTAAACTACAATACTTTAATATAAAGAAAAAATAAGGTTTATAGCTTTATATACTAGTAAAAATATAAAATACTTTAGTAGAGTAGATTTATATATAAAAATAGGCTAGCTGTAAGGCCGAGCAGTAATTTACAAATAAGATAAAGGTAAGTGTTACGAACGTTACTGCACAAGACACAGGACAGGACTGCACTAGTAAGAATAGGCACAACTTATAGGCATAAGAAGAAGGCAGAGGTATATAACTAGCTATATAACTTAGAAAGTAATTAAAGAGGTTAATATTTAAATATATTAACTAAGGAGAATTAAACTAACTAAACCTTAAGCTATTTAATTAAGGCTTAAAGAAATTAATAAATAAGCTAGTTAATTTAGTTTATAATAGAGAGATAGATAAGTACTTAAGAAGAAGGTATTTTACTATAGTAAATAGTCTAGTTCTTTATTAATTAATTTAAGTAATAGTTTTACTATTAAGAGTTATACTCTTAATAGCTTTATTATTATACTACTTATATTATTACTTAGTAATACTTAACTTAACTTACTTTCTAAGAAATAGACTTACTATAACTTAGAACTTAAGCTACTATTATATTTTAATTAATTTTATTTAGTAAGTTACCTTAACTATAAGTAGTAAATAACTTTAAAAAGATATTAATAGCTAGTAGAAAAATAAATACCTCTAAGGAAATAATAAGAAACCTCTAAGGTA